CGGAAACCTTTGGGGCGCCTGATAGTTGTCCGAACCTACCGGTTGTCACGTCTCCCCAATTCGAAGGGAAGTTTCGGCGGGGGTAGCGACTTGGAGAAGGAAAAAGAAGCAGGAAGGTGTGGAAGGACATGTACACGCCCAACAAAACATCGGTCTGTTGTCCTAGTACCGTTGTGTCTAGTACCAAGATTTATTATTTCCACTCTACTTCTTCTCTCCTGGCCCAGACCCCCTCCTTCCCCGTGACCCCGATAAATTCGTAAACAGAGCTAACCTCTCATTAACTTCCTCCCGGGAACAAATTGTTCTGTCTCCCAAGACGGAGATCTTCTCGGGAAGGGGTTAATTTATGTGGTCGGTTTCGAACAAACAATTCTCTTTGTACTGTTATATTTATCCCGGTCCCCTATGAATAGTGACCCCCGTATGTTGATTTCTTGTTTCAGTCATTACCAAACCAACCTTTACACTTACATATCCTTTCACTGTTCCTCACTGTTCCTCACCTCGCTATCCGTCGTTGTATCCTCGCAGTTCCCCTCTCTATGTCCTTTTTCGTCCGTTCAACCCACCATGACATTGCGCTGCACATAAGGAAGACGTGTACGTCACCACAAAAACCTCTCTATTGTGGGACGTAGAGCAGGAAACTACGGGGGTTGGACAGCCAACACCCACACACGAAATCGACGTACGATTGTCTCGTCTATTTGTCAGGGACCACTGACAAAATGACTCAAACAAAATTAGCCTCTGACCGGTACCAAGACTCGGAGTGTACCTCCTTTTGTTTTCGGGTCCGCCCAGTGTGTCTCAGTTTGAAATACGGCGATAATCCAGCGCTCTTCCACCCCTCGTTAATCGTAAAAACAACCAAATAAGATTGACTCAAGGGGAGTTTAACCCGCTTTTCGGGGAATAAGTCCCATTTTAAAAAGGTATATGGCCCATAAGGTTGAATTCGAGTTAAACTCTATGGATTATTAATAACGGTGGTGTACATTCCCCTTTGTCAGCAGGCCGGGTAATATTCACAAAACCTCGGGAAGTATGTTGTTGTCGTCTATTAGACGGAAACAAAAATCAAATGTTATATCAGTTTTACAAAACTATATGTAACAGGTCTAATTTTAAAATCTTATCAGTCGACTTAGCAAATAATAAATAATAAAAGTATGTCCTTTACCTTGAGTCCACTCCATAGTAACCTAGCCACATCGACGGAAAGGAAAGGACTTACGTAGATGCTACCATTAATCCGCATTGATTTCTTAATAATTAACCGCGATATGAAAGGAAAGACTTACATGGTCTAAATTTGTCTTGGGACAATTTCATAACAGTCCTCTGGTAGAAGGAGTACGGTTAATTTGGAAAGAGTTTCCATAGTAAGGTGGCGACACCTAATAACTTCTTGTTCTGTTCCCAGAGCCGGTGGCTCCGGGGGTAAGTTGACGTTTGTGTGAGGGAGAGTAAGTGTACGTTGTGGTGAGGAACGACAGAGAGTTTGTTAGTGGTATTCTACATATGTCTGCCTCTACACGACCAGTGACGGTAGTAGGTACACACCACATCCAAATACACAAACCAACGATACGATTTAACCCTAAATATAACGAAAAAATTCCTGTTAGATAAGGTCGATATGGTTGTGAGAAGTTAAATTTTCGGGAGACGTGTAAACATGAGTCAACTCCCCCAAGGTGTCCCGAGAATGTTAAGATATTGCGAGTATAACTAATTGTAAACGTAATCTATAGACCAAATGACAGTAAAGAACCACCCGTCCCTGAACACGCTAACGCTAATTGTAATGGTATATGTAAATCCGACTAAGAAATAGGTTTCCGCTGAATGTTATTCACGGCCAAGCCTGGTTGGGTTTTTAATGTTTGAACCTTCTTTTTTTTGGTCTTAGTATAAATGCCAATTGATAGCCCCAAAAGTATCTCGATTTTTTGTAAAAGTACACGAAATGAGGTTTTTTGACCCGAAATCTATTCGGTGGGTCAGGGAAATAATCAATAATATTTTCACCGAAACAACAATTATCAAATAGCAAGCTTAACCCTTCAGCTTTTCTCTTAACTCAAAAGTCCAGACGCGAGCCTTCTCCAACGTTTAAGAAAGACCGAACGGACTAAGTTACCCGCTCGATGTAAAGGTGGGTAAAAACCTTCGGTCCTATCGTTTGGGTGGCCACAAAAAACAACTACCTTGACCCAGGGGGAGGCCCGTCAAACGCCACGTCGCCTCGACAAAACCCGACTAACGTCCCTTCGCCAACTTCACCTAAAAGAATTCGTCATAATGACCCCCTTGGACTCAACCTTTCCTCTTCCTCCGGCTCGGGACCCCCACCCCTTCCTTAAATTCCTTCCAACCTTTCCCCTGGTCTGCTCGGCGACGGTAAAAGAACCTAAACACGACGTCTCCCAAAAGCCTACCGGTTTGTACGTTCCATCCCCTGGTCGGCCTCCTCACGTCATTCAGATTCCGCACCTCTAAAACTTTTCTCGGAACCTGTTCTTTTGGAAACGGCAGCGAAGACCCAGTTCGACCCCCTGCAATAAGGAGGATAACCAAACATTTCTTCACAATAAGACGTCGCCGAAACATCCGTCGGCTAACCAAACGTCCACTTCCCTGGTCAAACAAATTTAGATCCTTAAAGGGTGGTTTGGGGTCTAAGGGAACCGTCAGACTTTTTCCAGCCTTTCCCCCTTTTTGTAGGCCTGGTCGGAGGGGTCGTCCATCACATGTTCAATGACAGATGGAGGTCAGGGTGAAGCATGAGCCAGATTAAAGCATGTGTGTGGGGTTCCTGCTGGTTGTTTTCTTGATGTCTCACAAGGGACATCTCAGAGCCTTTTGCTGGTCTAACCTTCATCACTTTCCGAGTATTCAGAGAGCGTCTTGCATTCATTCATGACATGAGTAAACTCTGCCCACATTTCAAATCTCCAATGTGTGTGTACTAACAGATAAAAGGTTCTCCTCTGTCTGCACAGCCTTGAAGGATGCAGGGTGATTTACATAGAGCCGATAAGAGTGGAGTTTTATCAGTGTTGACGGATAACTGACGGTTTAATGCGGCCGTGCTGAAATGAGTTTGCGGGCGCGGCCTTGATTTGTGAAGCATTGCAGTGACACTCCAAGGATCCTGTGGAACGCTTTATTCTCAGTAATATTGAGCAAAAGTGGTGTGAAATTGAAGCACACAGAGGCCGCATGTGGTTAGTGGTTGAACAAAAGTTTGAGAGGCGTCACTTCCTCTCTGCAGCCGTTAAACTGGAGGGGATTTAAGGACAAAGCATCTGCATGGGGGCTTCCTCTGTCAAAAGGAACTGCCTTTGATAGTAGTTCCTCCATGGCATCTCACTAATGAGGGAGTTCTTCACTGGGCTGTTGATCAATAGTGGATCAATTGGGCTCATTTAATTTTTATAAGGCTCCAAAAATTAGCTCGATATGATTTAAACATGGACCAAGCTGGATTTAGATTAAAAACAGAATCATGCAATTGAAGAATGCATTGGAGGCAAACCAAATTACTATGATGTTAGCTATAAGTTATAGTGTGAGCACCAAATAAAAACATTCTTACCTAAATACTATAGGTCTAAAATCATCATCCTTTTCCTCAAAAAATGTTTTATGATTTCAAGGTAGGCTACACCGCCCATTTACAGTAGGCATTTCATAATGTTGTCTATAGCTCCACCTTGTGGTTTTAAGTCACAGTGACAAGAAACGTTTTTGAGGATTTTTGTGATTTTGTGTTCGTCTTCTTTTTCCCTCTTACTCTCTTTGTCTGTAATACACAGCTTCGTCTTTTAAATAATTTCTGTCCTTCATTTGCACCACTAAAAGACACAGAAAACACCTGACACAAGTCCCCTCTCTATCATGTGGGTTCAATCCACAACCTCCATGATTTCATAATGCATGTTTTTGTCTCTTGTTGTTGACAGCATTTCACCGGTTTAGTGGTGAGCGTCCCTCAAAGTGATACATGCACTGCAGCAGATTATGCGGGGTGAACTTTATGTAGTACAAACACTTGGCTGTGAACTCATCCTACAGTGTGAATGTAGACAGGATGCACTAAAACTGAGAAGAAAAATCAATGAGCCAGCTAAGTTAATGGGGCCATGGGAAGCAGTATACAAGTCAGAGTAATCACAGTAAGCACTGCAGCATTCCTTTAAATGTAAATAATTATATATCAGGTCCTTAAATCTAAAACGTCTGTTTTGACTAATATTGACTGCAGATTATTGGGTTCATTGTGTGTGCTTCTCACTTTGTGCCAATGGCCACTGTCTATTTCTGTGGTTCCAGTTATATGGGACTGTCTTTAGGAATGAGCCAGACTCTATTACACCCTGAGCCCTCCCTCAGAAGCTCTGCTAAAGTAACAGCTGATGTCACTCCTGCTTAAAGACACACACACACACACACACACACACACACACACACACACACACACACACACACACACACACACACACACACACACACACACACACACACACACACACACGGTCTCTTACACCTTCCTCTCCCCACGACATCAGCACTTGGCACAGGGGAGGCTCTGGATCCCAGGTTGCAGCAGAGAGAGAGAGAGAGAGAGAGAGAGAGAGAGAGAGAGAGAGAGAGAGAGAGAGACAGTTCAAAGACCCTCAGCACCCACATGTGCCTGGGTGGATCATGGAGCTGCACTGTCTTCCTACTGAGACCCCAACCACAGCTAGCTCCTGCTCCACGGACCCCTTGTACGACAACTGCCCACCTTTTGCCCAGCGAGGGAGCAAAAGGGCAAAGGCAATGGAGAGCAGGGTTGTGTGCCCGGCTGTAACCAGACTCTCAGGCCCCTGCTGCCCTCCACCTTGTCCGGCCCCAGCTGTGGCTGAGGGTCCCTCACTGCTCAGTGGGGGAAGAGAGGCTGGCGCCTGGCCAGATCACAGCTACTGCAGCTGGAGAGGAGCTTTGGGAAGACAGGGCTGTGAAGCAGAGCGGGTTCCCATCATAAACAGAGCCAGAGAAGTTGAGGACAGATCTCATCAGAACCAGAGCCCAAATCCATCGCAGAGCGAGGAGCACCGGAGCGCTCTCTCTGTGTACGATAACCTCCCTGAAGCTGTCACCCCTGACAGCCTCCAAGACGTCTTTGAGATGGAAACCAGCTTCCAGGAGCAGATGTACCAGGCGTGGCTCCCTGAGCACTTCCAGGGACTGATGGACGGCGAGGGAGTGAGTGAAGGCAAGAGTGCCTGGTCCTCCTGTGAGATCATCCTCGCTGACAATAACCAGGACCAGAACTCAGAAGAAGACAAAAAGCATGATCAGGAGCCAGAGCTGGACCCTGGATCCTGTGGATTTCAGAGGGGGGACCCGATGCTGCAGCTCCAGATGTCCTACCCTCAACAGCGTCTTACAGCAACTTCCCCTCAACAGAGCCAGGTTCTGTGGCCCTCAGCTGAAACCCAGCAGCCATCCTGGTCTCCCAGGGTGCCCCCCCCTGTACCCCTGGCAGACCCCTCTGCCAGTGCCCTCCGCAGCATCCTCACTGGTCTCCAACAGCAAATAGTCCGACAGAGGGAGGAGTACGAGGCACGAATACACAGGTAACGTTCATTTCTTTTTTCTTCTCCATTTCAAACAAAGCAAACATAATATGGATGTTACACCATGACAAAGACAAACCAAATGTCCTGCATTTAATGTGCTTTTGGCTTTAGTATCACACTTTCAGTTCACTGACTTGAGATTTTCCCAGTTCTTGGTGTATTGCTGTGGAGGGTGACACAATGTTCCCAGGCCCAGACATTGTGTGTGTCCACTCAGCTGTGCTGCTCAGTTGACCTCGAGCTTCACCCTGTATCCTGTTTAGTTTGAAGCACACCAACAACTGTTTTTAGTTCACATGAACATTTCCCATCATTGAAAGTACTAAGATTATTACTAATTAAGTCCTTACAACTTCATTCTTTTATCCACTTTTGTGTTTTCAGTGTACTGTGGACATTTCTACATATCACACTTGGATGTGTCATATAATGTTGCACTGACCTAAGACAGTGAGGCCTCCTGTTGGTAAATAGCGGTTTGGTTTTACGTTTAAAAAAAGCACATCCTGTGTGGTTGACCTATAGAAACAGCTCATGGCATTGGAAAGAGAGCTAATTTAAGGGGCCATGCTGCTGACCTAGACACAACACATACCTCATTTATTACTGATATAGATAGAGCAAGTCTCAGTGTAAGGTCACTGGTACTGGTTGGCAAGGACAAGAGGAAAAGGGCAATACTTATAGCTTATAGTAAAACATATAAACCACCTGTTCTACTAACCATTTAAGGCATCAAGAATCAGACCTATTAAAGAAACTATCAACATACATGTTAGATTGACTCAGAAATACACTGCTGGCCATTGCTAGAAACCTAACATAGATCTCAGTCTTTCATTCACCCTAATGCGACCCTCTTCTTTGTGTATTTACCATCAGCTTAGAGCAGAGAAATGAAGAGCTGCAGGTCGAGGTGGTTCGGTTGAAAACAAACCTCTCACAGCAGCGACACTGGTACCAGGCCGTCGAGGATAAGATCACTGAGTCTGAAAGGATCCGGGCCGCCGCAGAACAACGCAACGCCACTCTGCAGAAGGAGATGGAGCAGTTCTTCGACACCTTCGGAGAGCTCAACAATGAGGCCAAGAAGACAGAGTATATCGTCAAAAGCTTTTGAAAAGAGAATATATGAATTGTATGGAATTAAATGAATTGTGTGTGATGAAATTAACTGTATGTGAGAAGGACAAGACTGGTTAGTCTTTAAACTCTAGTGAGTAGCCTATCATGTAAAGTAGCTTGTCACTATCAAAGCCAAATACTTCCGTCTCTAATTGAAAATGGTGGTCTGCAGTTATTTCTTCATTGAGAATATACAAAACATCACTGAAAGAATAATCACTGATGTCCACTTTATTTGTTACGTAACGGCAAAGATGTTGGCCGGGGGATTATATTGTGGTCATTGCAATCAGACATCTCTGACAATGAAAGGAGAAATAAACAAAACAAAGATGTGAGCTGCACAGTGTATACAATGAACATGTGTTTTCTTTTAAAACATGGTGAACGATGTTCTGATCACTGTAATGCTCAGTCCTTAGCTGATAAGATTTGTGGGGGTAAATCAGCCGCTCCTCACGTCATTAAAAGATACGACTGAAAGAATAAGGTCAGTTATTTTAAAAGGAAAATATAACGTACAATAAAGTCCTCTGCGTCTCCATAGTGTCATAATTCTGCATCTCCATCACCCTGTGCAACAAGTTCTGCAGAAAGCAGCTCCAGTCCATTTCCACCATCATCATCATCATCATCGAGTTTCCATCATGAATCCTTAAGTCCAGATTTTCATTCAGTCTCATTTTAAACTTCCACGTGTCTTTTTGTAGAGGGGTCAACTTCCTCCTTACCTTACAGTTGCTGTTTATAAAGGAGATAATGAAGGAGATAATTGCAGTACATTTATATAACACACGCACTGGCTTACAAGGCGAAGAAAATACAACATCTGCATCAAACAGGCATTCAGAACATCGAGGTACTGGAAGTAAAATAAATGAACGGATTATTTCTTTATAACAAGAACTACGGTATCTTATTGGCATCTCTAATGCCTTCATGCAAGTTAAACACCATTATTTGTGTTTGACTGCCTACAGGTGTTCTATAAGAAGTCTGATTCACGATGAGTTTTGGGACTGCTCCAGTACTGATGGAATGGTCTAGAAAAGGAGCAGCCGATGCGTTGATTTTTGAATGAAATGTTTCGACAAGAGGTTGATTTTACGCGGGGCCACGACGTGACTGTGTGCAACATTTGGCAAGAACACAAAAATAAATACAACATGTATCTTTTTGCCTCTCCAACATTTACAAGATTATGATTTTGATATACACATTGTTAGTCGGTACCTTATGTCCAATGGGGGTGCAATATATAGTGCTAAAGATATGTTGAATTCGTAACAAATGAGCACACCTTATCTATAGGTAATGAAAGGCTTTACAGTCACTATGAGTGCCAGAGCGGGACATATTTAAAAACAGAAAATAATATCAGGACACAAAAATGTAACACTGCAATCCCAGCTTTCCCTAGCTGTCAGGAGGAAGAGTTTAAAATCCACACCACTCAAGGCAATTATTTAAAAACAAAGTGTAGAAAGCACTGCTGTGGAGAGGATCGATCCAACTCTGGATGAGTGTTTGATCCTCAGATGGACATTAAATGATTGGTGCGATCGACTTATGGTGAGTTTTTGTTCATATAGGCTTATCATGCATGAGAGCAGCTGTGGTCTATGTTCAGTGCGTCTATGCTCTAATTTGATGACCTCTGGTCTCAATGTAACATTTGCTAAAAAAATAAAACTATTAAAATACAGGCACACAGAACAGACAACAATCTCCCACCTACTCCTGGGAACCCGAAAATCAATCTGGATGCATGTATACTTGACGAAGGTAAACAATATCCACAAAGAAGACCAACCTTTGACCCAACAGTTAGAATATAAAGCTCTCTATTCAGAACGAATACAGACTTTGACCTCCTGGCAGCAGTCCAAAACAAAGTTTGATATTGAAAAGAGCAACAACATCCACTAGGTGACACACACAGAAAGAAAATAGAAAAATAGACCTATTCTTCGAGGTTACAGAGGAGAAAAGAAAGAAGAAAAAGTAAAGAGAAGAAATGAAGGCGGTAGTTGATTGATATTTGTAAATTGTAAATGGGAGGACCGAGGCGATGTGTTCACTGACTCTCGTCCAGCGCTCCCGTCAGCGTGTCGATGCTGCTGCTGTCCGTGTCCGACGCCAGGGTGTGCTCCGTGGACATGGACGAGATGTCGTTGGCTGATGAAGACTGGGAGGCGGACCCTGACACCACATCTGAATCACACACACGATGGAGAGAATCAGAATATCGTTTAGGTCATTATACCAATAATATATAGAGTTAAAACAGTGCGTTTACTGCAAGAAATAGTGGGTTGGACGTGACCACTAACATATTATTGCATCTAATGAATAAAGATGGAGCATGGGTGTACCTGAGCAGTCTTCTTTCATCAGTCCATTCTTGTTCCTCTCTTCCCAATCTATCACCTCTTCATAAATGAGTTCTGTGGAAAAGCAGAAAAAGTTAGGTGTCGTCAGTGTGTGCTCAGAATGCAGCCTTTCAGATGCAGAACATTAGAAATAGTGTATTATTGGCCAAATATGTGTTAATTAACTGAGGTGAATCCATCAGCTCGAAGAAATCTCATCAACTGCTGTTAATTGGTCTTGTTTTTTATTATTATTTACACACACATGTTTTTTTAGGATGATTTGTCAGAGTCTTGTAACACAAACAAAGATGATTTTTTTCATGTGTATAGAATACCTACGTATAAATAGGTAGATATGGAAGAAACATGATTCTTAATAGGAATAAGAGTTTCCTGTATCTTTTGGAATCAGAACATGAATGAAGTTTGGCTGCACTGCAGACAGATGGCCCTAGAGGGCAGTGGCTCCCACCTTTCCAATGCTCGATGGAGTGCTCTCTCTCTTCCAGCTGCTTATCTGAAATCTGAGGAGGAGGCTGTGAAACAAAGAGAGAAACATTTATCAGCACACACACACACACACACACACACACACACACACACACACACACACACACACACACACACACACACACACACACACACACACACACACACACACACACACACACACACACACACACACAGTTTCCTCACCGCGTCGGCCTCTCCGGGGTCGTACCACACGTGGATGTAGGGGTGATTGAGGGCTTCTTCTACGGAGACGCGGCATTCAGGATCAACGACCAGCATTTTGGAGAGCAGGTCCCGTGCTTGACCTGCTGTTATGGCAACAGAGGAAGGGCAGTGTTACTATGGAAACAGGCCCATGACATGATTTCCTTCAACAGTCTTTATGATAACTGATTACTTCCTCTTGCAGAGTTGGGTAACATCTCCGGGAATGTCAAGATGTGTTCTCTGTTTGGCTGATCTTACTCTAAATGCCACAGAGTAGGGCAGAACAACTGTTGACCTGCATGGTCACTCTCTGAACTTGTTGTATACGACATCCCGTTTTCTACCTCTATGTCTGTAATTTAGTTGGAAACTGTCTGGTCATATCAATATATTGCAGACAAATATCTCTGACTAAAAAGGTTAAAAAAACATGAAACTTGACAATTGTCTGAAACATCTATGCAGGGGAACAACAACTATATGCATTTAAAGTACAACAATTATTTTGGATAATTCTTACTCTTTATTTTATCATGTTCTGAGTCAGAGGGAAAGGCCCAGTCCGGGAAAAGCTCGTCTAAGCTGACTCCAGGATACTCCGGCTTGTTCATCACATAGTTCCTCACGGTCTCCATCAGCCGGTTCATAAACTCCAGGCTGGGCGTGCCCAGAACCTCGATCACCTTATTCCACTGGTCGATGTCTGCACAGCACACTCGTTAGGGACAACTCAGCATCATTATGGGCTAGTACATGTGTCAGCAAATGAGAGGAACATTTGATAAGGCACAGAACCCAGAGATAAATACATGAAATGAAAGCACTTTGCATAATCTGAAAACATTATACAGACAAGGCAAATATGTGGAGCTGGAGGCTGTACTGAGCCACAGTGCATATTTGAACAAGGTGCTAACATTAGCTTGCTAACATATTCAAAATGACAATGTTTGCATTTTAATGTTAATCTGGAATAATATTTACCACATTCACCATCTTTAGTTTAGCATGTTAAAATGCTTACACAAATCTCAAACTACAGTTGAGCTTGATGGGAATTGTAGTTTTGCAGATATTTGGTCATGAACCAAATAATTTTGGAAAACAAAAACCTGAGAGTGCTACTACAGTTAGTACAACTATGCTGAAGGAAACATGAATGTATACGTTAATAGCAATATATATACGAGAACCTGGACCTGCTCGGCTGACTAACAATTGCAGTAAAAACCATTATTTCCCCTGGTGAAAAGCAATCTATCCTCGAATCGCACTGTGTCCTTCATCTTTTCTCAGCTATTCAGGTGAAAATGGACAGCGGCACTGAAACGAGCTGGTGAGGGAAGAGGTGCCAAACCCATTAGAAACAGAGAAACGGCCAATAAAAATGCAAATGATTTGAATTGCTTCAATTTAATTTCCGCTATCAATTAAGGGGATTATAGTTTCCCGAAAAACAGCTCTACAGATGTATAATCTTTGAAGAGGGCAGGAAACACACAAAGCTCTCTGATTAAATTGGGCTGTGCTGGAAAACATGAGAAGTCCAATTTAACAGATTGTGTATAGAGGGCAAAAATGCAAAATGTCTTGCCACTCAAGTGTGCTGTTAGAAAAATAAGAAGAGATGAGTGAAATACTTTGTGTTAAGAAAAGGTTTGATGGAGGGTGTTGATGGATGACAACAACAGAGAGGATAAGAGCAATGAAGGATACGATCTGTTCCCTGGAAGATGACGCTGCCCTTCACCATCTCTCCCATGATGCACCCCACTGACCAGATGTCCACTGGGAACAGAGAAACATAACAACACATGCAGAACATAATTGTAACATTTATAACATAATATCAAACACATAATAAAGTATAATGCGTGTGAAATAAACAGTAGAACAACTCTTCAGATGTTGCCAGCTGAGCAACATGCTCCATGGTTTGTAATTGAATGGCAAACAAATATATGCAGAACAGTAGCTGAGGTCTCATTGGTCCATCCTGTAGCCGAGCCATGGCCTGATGCTTTCATCACATTCATCTTAAGGCTGTCTCCTCTCTCTCTGGCCAGACGCAGCCTTCCAGGCTTTTCTCCTCTCCTCTGCTGCTCTGCTTATCAGTCTACACAGCTGTTGCTCTCTTCATCACTTCTCCTGTGTGTGCGCTCAGCAGAGTAGCATGTAAGTAGTTTCTTTTATCTGGGTTGGCTGTTAGCTGAAGCGTGCACGCGTGGAAAATAACCATTAACTTCTCTCTTCCCTCTATTTTCACCTTTACTGAAGCTGAACGGTCTGTGTGCTCCTTAATCGTCTCCAGATCATACAAACCACTCCAGGTCAAATCCTCAAACACAATGCATACATGTCTTACACTGTTCATTGTGTTTAGCGGGGTAGGTACACTTTAGACTAGGAACAACTGTTTTTCTGTTAGGCTAGTCCAACTAAAGCTACAAAAAAGTATATTGACCACTTCCTGGTTCAAATCCTAGCATTAGATCATTGTTATTGCATCACCTTGTAGTTAAGCTATTTAAACAATACTTTCATCTCAACCCTGTTTGTTGACAAATTGTTATTTATAAAAATGTGCTAATTTATTTAAAAAATAAAAATCGATATAAAAGTGTGATGCCTTTAGAGGTCAGAGTTAGCCTCAGAAAATGTGCAAAATCTGGTAACAATAGCTTAAGCCAATTATGATATATTATGGGTTAATTTTATATCGACCCAAAAAGCAACAACAAAAATAAATCCTTTCTACGAGTGTTCAGGCCCCCTGTGGTGCTTTGACCTCTAATAACCAGCTGTAGCCGACTGATAGTGGATCAAAGTCTTTTCACTGTGCACTTTTTATTCTGAACTGCCAGCATCTTCTGTTCAGCTGTGATGTTCTTTATATTTGACTGTAATGCTTGTTGTGTCAGTTGTTAACAATCAGGTCTGTTGGACAAATGATGTAATGTTGTTAGTATTCTTTAATAAACCTCTGCATTATCCTC